GATCTTCTTTCTTTCTTCTCAGTAAATGAGAGGACAGGACTAGCCAGAGGCCTTGCTTTGAGATCACCTACAGTTTGCCCTCTCCTTGACCCGCCTTCCTGATGTTTCCTTTGTTCTCTCTTCTCCTGCAGATCGAGTGAAGGTTCTCTATGAAAGCAAAGCTGTTGGCTATTCCTGGCCTGGTCCATTTTCCATGGCAGACTCCAGCCCTTGGGTCCATATTACCCTAGGTGATGGCAGTACCCTCCAGACCAAACTGTTGGTAGTTGAAGATTCTTACTTTGTCAGGGGTCTTGCATGTCCACACCTTACATTCCAGGGTCTGTAGTTTTAGATGGAAACCATAGGTTGACTTAAGTCATTGTTTCTAGAACAGCCAGTCTCTATTCAGGGCAGCTGGAGCTAAGATGGTCTTAACCCTTCTGTACTGGAAGCTACTTCATGGGCCAGCTTAGGATAGGAGAGCCAGACTCCCAGGACAGATGGAACAAGAGAGTTGGGGACTCAGGCTGTTCCTTTCCTGTTGCAGAGGTCCCGGTGGCATTCATCTCGCAGCTCTCATTTCTAACTCCAGTGCCTGTTGTGCGCCTAACTTCTCTCTCTAGTTCATGCATCCAGAGACTCTGCTTGAATATGGCTGTTGCTGGCACCTTTTGGTTCAGATAGCCACTTTGGTCCTCTTAGCTCAGGCTGGGGTCCCATTTTGTGTGGTTTTCCTACAGGGGCTTTGAGTGGGACAGGCTGAGCAGTCTGATGAATGGACCAGTCCTAAGACTTAGCAGCATCTTGTCTCCATGCAGATCGGTGCTGATGGGCACAACTCAGGAGTGAGGCAAGCTGCTGGCATCCAGAATGTCAGCTGGAACTATGACCAGTCGGCTGTGGTGGCCACTCTCCACTTATCAGAGGTAATCTCTTGAGCTGCCCCTCAGGGACCTTGTCCTGAGCACTCAGTACTCCTTACAAGAATTGTCTTTTATTCTAGGCCACAGAAAACAATGTAGCCTGGCAGAGATTTCTTCCCTCTGGCCCTATTGCTCTGCTCCCGGTAAGAGGTCCTCTGGCCAGTTAGCTAAAAGGTAGTCTGCCTGTGTCTTTAAGAACTTTACTTTCGGGGCTGGAGAGATGGCCCAGTGGTTAAGAGCACTGACTGCTCTTCCAGAGGTCCTAAGTTCAAATCCCAGCAACCACATGGTGGCTCACAACCATCTGTAATGGGATCTGATGCCTTCTTCTGGTGTGTCTGAGGACAGCTATAGTATATACATATAAATAAGTAAATCTTAAAAAAAAAAGGGGGGGGGGGGCTGGAGAGGTGGCTCAGTG